TCCGAGCGCGGTTCCGTGGCAGCCTGAGCTTCGTCTCCGTAGGCGGGGACCCAGCGCGGGCAGCGGTCACTCTCCGTCCGCGTCGCCCGCAGTGCGGTGCCCTGGCCCAGCTCTCACGGGCCCTTGTTGGCCCAGCTCCGCCGGGGAAATTCGCCGTAGCCGCTGGGCTGCCTCTTACACCAGCTCTGCGAGCAGCCTTGTCATGGCGCTGGAGGTGAAACTTCTCTGGAGAAACCCAGCCCGAGCTCTCGCTCCTCAGCCGGTGCAGTTGTGCTGGGGACTCCAGCGCCGGCCTATCTGCCTCTATTCAGTGCCCATGGAGGTGCCCCTCCAGCTGGTTGGTTAGGACTAGGATTATGATGGGCTTCAGTTCTCAGCTTTGCAGGCATATGTGAGAATTATATTTTTTGTGATGGGTGACTATTCTTGTAAGATGTTGCACTTCAGCAGATCCCACTCACCATTGTCAGCCTGCCATCTCTGCATTGTTACAAGTAAATGGAGGTGTCTGTTAGTGCCAAAAATTGACTTGAAATACCATTTAAATATTTTTCTCTAAAGTTAAATGGCATATTGAGGTGAAATTTCACATGGGTTTAATTGTTATGTCCTTTAAGTAGCTTTTGTTTTGTTTTTAAATAAGTAGTCTCTGAAATGGGATATTTTTGGCTGCTTTACTTTTTTTTGGTTTTGGTTATTGACCAATATCTCTTTCAAAACTTCGTCTGGCTACAAAAATTGAAACTTTCAAAACTTCGTCTGGCTACAAAAAAATTGATAGAGAGATGTATATTTTGAGTAGATGTGGAGTAATGAGTGGATTTAGAAACAATGATTGGATTCAGTATTATTAGTTATTAATTATTAAGGGTATATACATTGCGTATGCTGGTCTTGTGGTTCAATGGAATCTGGAACATACGAAATCTTCCCCATCAGGAGCTACACTTTTGTCAGATTTTATTCTATAAAAGCAGAGAAGGGCTTATACAGAACAAAAACAGACTATGCATGACAACCTTAATTTTGTCCTTTCACGACAGAAAGATGGACTGTTCCCCTATAGCAATTCTTCTGCATCTAACCCTTTACAATGTACTTGACTTCAGTAACTAATAATATTGGGGGAAGAGGTGGAGGAAGAGAAAGCTGACAAAAGGGTATGTGAAGAAACCAAAAGGAGGGTAGAGCCATGGTTACAGTTGTGGTCTGTGGCGTTTGATATTTGTGGTGAAGATGAACTGAGTGGAGGAACAGAAATTCTGTATTTTAAGTACTCTAGTTTTTCCTTGAGATTGTGAGTTGAGTCAGTATGTTGTGCAGTTAGCAATCCTAATTGTTTCACAGGGAATTTGTTGTGTATTATAGTAACTGTATATACAGGTTTATATAGCACGTGCTATCGTGTGTGTGTATACACATATATTGAAGAGCTTGACAGTATTATAGTATCATTTGAAAAAGTGATTGGAAGTGATGCCTGTCAATGGGGTAAGATATCTGCCTCCTTGGCAAAGCTTCTTTAGCGGAGTTGGAAAAACACTTAATGAGAAGAGAGCCAGAGCTGTGAGAAGATGAAGAATTATTTTGTAGTGACTGTCAAGTTTTTGAAACTTATTTTTTTTCCTCATTGGTACATCACCACCAAAAATACTCCTTTGAAATGTTTTCAGAAAAACAGAATTGTGACAGGGAGTGCCTGAGTGTCAGTTACTCTACAATGGAGTGTGTGGGGATGGGGGGGGGACTATGGCATGTGGGTCACATGCAGCCTGGCAGACTTTATCTGGCCCTCGATTTCCTTCCAGGGAGTGGGACCAGGGGCTTGCCCTCTTCTACAGTTTTGGCGCTCTCTAACACTAGACTCGCAATTCCATCATCTCTGGCACTCGAGAGCCACATTGTGCAGGTGTGACTTCAGTTTCCTAGATCAGAACCCTGTATCTATACGGCAGGGTCTCTCTGCCCCATGGCAGTGAATATAATCCACTCCTGGTCTCCTACGGTCCCACCCTGGAGAGCCTTGAAATCACCTAGGGGCCGCACTCGGCTCAGCTAGTTTGCCTCCCCGCACCTTGGTCTCATTGATGGTAGGGCCCATAGGAATCCCTTGTACTGTCCCTGTAGAGCCCATAACACCCTTGTGCCATACCCCATGAGTTCCCCCTTACACTACTTTGGGAACATCCTTTACTACATACAAACTTCTAATGAACACAGTAGAGTGCAGGCAGCTCAAAGTACAATATTAACACCATTTGTGTGAGACATAAAATTACTCCTGCCTCTGCTTCTTTTTCTGGAATAGTGCGCCATGACTTAAAATTTTTAGGGGCACTGACGTCCAACAAATTCAGACTAGAGAGAGGCACCTGTTTTTTTTTCCACGGTGTGCAATTTTGTAAAATCAAAGTTTGAAATAAGGATAGCAATTAGGATTTTCTTTTCCCTTTCTAAAATAAGGGCTGGAAAAAAAGATGTCAATAGTGAGTGTCAGGTTTTCAAGGACGAATGGAATGCAAAATATTTTTTCACAAACATAAACTTTAAGGCTGTATGCCTGATTTGTCAGGTGAGTATTGTGGCATTCAAAGAACAGTTTGAATTGCCATCTTTCAACAAAACATCCTAATTATGGCAGCAATTTAAGAACTGGGGAAAAGTCAATTTTCTCAGCTTTTCTTGGCATGAGCAATATTTATGTGCAACAAGCTTATCTTATCTCATAGAGCTGAAAGGGACCTTGAGAGGTCATTGAGTCTAGCCCCCTGCTTTCATGGCAGGACTTAAGTACCATCCCTGATGGATTTGCCCTAGATTCCTAAATGGCCCCCTCAAGGATTGAGCTTACAAACCTGGGTTTAGCAGGCCAATGCTCAAACTACTGAGCTATCCCTCCCCCCTGGAAGTTCAGGAAGCCACTACAAAGGCAAATTATATTTTAGTGTTTAAAATTTCTGAATAAAATAAGCCTTTTGCTGAAGGAGAGTTTTTTGAAAGAATGTATGATTGATAATGCTGACATGCTGTGCTCGAAATAGCAAAAACAAATTTGAGAATATTAGTTGATGATGAAGAACTGTTACCATGTAGAAGTTATTGATGAACATTTGGCTTCTGAGTTCAACAAGACGGTACAGGACTTTGTTTTCATTAGCTGTTGATGACAGCATTGACATTAAGGACACCGCACAACTGTTGACTTTCAGAGGAACTGATGACACATTTGGAATGTAGACATAGAGGAATTTTTATCAATGAAAGACATAACTAAGGACCGGATTTATATGAGGGGGCATGTGGCTGTCTTGAACATCTGAAACTTCCCTGAAGTAAACTGGTCTATCGTATTAAATTGGGGAAAACGTAGGACTTTTAAAAAGAATTCATGACTAAATAAATGAAGATGATTCTGATATAAGTTATTTGTATTATATCAGGAGGCACTCTGCAAAAGTGTCTTGGACATTGATCATATTGTTTCCACAGTAGTGAATATAGTGAACTGCTGAAAAGTGAGGGGATTTAGTAATTCATTTCCCTTCTTGACAATACTGACACCGAATGCCAAGATTTACTTTATTATACAGATGTCCCCTGGCTTAGCCTAGGAAAGGTATTGCAGCAAGTGAGGGAGATGAAATCTGCACTTTTCTAGGCGAAAAAAATGATTTCCCTCAAACCTTCCTTTTGATGTGGATATCTTATCACATTAAAATGTGAAGCTGCAAGGAAAAGAATGTTTGTGCACAAATTGTATTCTAGTGTGACAGCTTTCAAAGCCAAGTTAGTGCTGTTTTCAAAACAAATTAAGAACAGAGCATTCGCTTAGGCCATATCTTCAGTGGGAAGGTTTGGTGATGAAAGTTCTGTTGACATGCAAAAGTCACTAAGAGTGAAAACTGGTCAAACCAGTTTTTCTGCCTCCCATTGTCGACATTTCATGGCCACATTGGTAGCATCTTGTTGACAGATAGAGCAAAGCAATGTGGGGGTTAGCATCCCACAGTGCAGTGTTGTGGGACAGCAGAGTTGATCCTTGTGCTTCCAGGATTCCCTCATAGCTATGTGAATTCTCTCTGCTGAGGAATGTCCAAACAGCACAGCAGTCTTTTCAGCCATCCCTTGCAGCAGCAGCCTGATTCTCCCTGTGTTCCCAGCAAGGCAGAACAGGAGCATTCCAATGATTTGTTCTTTGTTCCCCAAACAGAGCAGCTCACATAGCTCTCAGATATTTCCTGGAGGTTTGAAAGGGGAAGGGTGAATGCCTGCAGGACAGCAGAGATCACAAAACCCTGAGCATAGCCATCATGGCAGGCATTGTGTGATGTTGGCGAAAGTCAGTTTTCTCAGCTAAACAAATAGTAGAGTTCACACTGTCTGTTGATAATAAAGAGAGAGGAAAAGATAAGTCTCTCACAGGGTTGGAAGTTTTTTGTTTTTCCTGACAAAAGTCATATTGCAGTATGAATGCTCTCGCTGTTTTGTTGCCAAAAGGCAGGTTTTGGTGACAAAATGTGCCAGTGTAGTCAAGGCCTTATATTCCAACACTGAAACTTTTTTGTATGATGGCACAGAAAATCCTTGTTTTGTTAAGCTCCACATATATGTGCAAATAAACATTTCCCCTGCTGAATTGCAACAAATTTCTCTACATATTCCAGTTAACTGACCAGCATCTTAGTTTGGTATTCTGGATTTCCACAAGGAGCATGGCAGCGGACTGTGATGCCATTGTAAAGAAAGGTGACAAGAAGCATTGTTTTAATTAATCCAAGAAGGTGTGTGGAAAGGGTTAAGTTATGATATATTTATAATAATAAAGGTTTTATGTTTATTTCCACTAAAATGCTTCTTTATTAAATAGTTTATTTGACTATCCCTGCATTGTTAATTTAGTGAGCAGTCATGGTCTGCCATAAAATTCCCATACCCAGATGTAGTCCTCAGGCTAAAAAGTTGCCCGCCCCTACTCTGCAGTCTGTTGGCTGGGACACTGGTCTGGAATTAGGGAGACCCAGGTTCAGATCCCTATTCTTCCTGATTTAGAGCCAAGATTTTTCATCCCTTCATTATCTGAATTCAGTCAGAGCATCTCAATTAGTAGCTCCCTTCATGAAATGTTTGTTTTGACAAAACAACATAGTTTGATTACTTGAAATTGTTCCAGCCGATTTTAGTGAGCATGTAATTTTGTTTGACCTCTCTCTCTCTCTCTCTCTCTCTCTCTCTCTCTCAGAGTGTTGTAACATAACATAAATGGTAGAATCTGAGGTTACTTGCTTTTATTAGCCTGGTCACTAGATAAGTGTCTCTTTCTTCTAATGAGCCATTTAGACACATGAGCCTACCTTCTTTGAGTTCAACCTTTGACAGCTGTGCATTCTCAGTGAAAGGGCATTTAATACTGGAATTCACTTACTTTTCACTGGTCTGCCAGGGCAGAGTATTTCTTTAGTCCATTAGGATATGGTGAAATGAAAAACTAATTTATCATATTTGCTGACTCCTAATAATTTCAAAAGCAGCTAACAAAACCAAAAATACTGCATTTACATATGCTATTCTTAAATGAGATAGATCATACTTAAAATAATGAATAAAAGGGAAAAGGTATTATATTTGTTAGTGTTTAATATAAGTAATTAATGTATCAATTTGATTTTTTTTCTTGTTAGATCTTTTGCATATTTTACAATTAAAGACAGGCTGCCTCAAATCCTAACTAGGGTTATTGATACTTTGCACCGACATAAAAATGAATTCTTTGAAGAACACGGAGAGGTAAGAGTATTGCTGTTTCATACCATTTTTCTCATAACAAAACTTCATTGAGATCTCTCTCTCTCTCTCTTTTTTTTTAAATTTAATTCCTGTTTTCCTCATGTTGTTTTCCCTCATCATTTTTCTCATGTAGCCTTTCTTTTCAATGCCCGAGTTGTCTTTTGCCTTTTCTTTCTCGGTTATATCTTATATGCTATGTCTTAGTTTTATTTTTTTTTGTCTTTGTCTTTCTGGCTCCTGAAACTTCCTCAGTTTTATCTGATCTTTGGCTAAATGTGGTGTATGCCTCTTGGTCCTTGTGGGGATGGCAAGGTTTCAGATTGCGAGTCTATGAGAACAGCAGACTTTCATGTCAGCAGAGACCACCATGATCATCTTAGGCTGACCTGCACATTGCAGACTATAGAACCTCATATACACACTACTGTAATAGACCCTTAACTGTTCTTCCTGGTGACCCAGGCATTTTATTGAACAGAATGAAGTACAGTATGAGCAAAAGGATTTTATCTCAACATAGAATCAAATACACACCATGGCATATGAAGGTTCTTCCAGCTTGGAGGGAGTGAAATTGCAGAATGTCAGATGTAGAACAAAAGTGTCACTGAGCATGACTTAAACTTTTATCTTTGTTCAAGTGCAAGATCCTGAGAGTTTAATACTTATTTGGTTATTAAGATTTAAGTTTCAAAATTTTATTTCCCTTTGCAGTAAAATTTCCCTTTTATTTTCCCTTTGCAGTAAAATTTTATTTCCCTTTGCATATCACAAAGTATGTTATGTTTGGACTAGGGGCACTTCTTTTTAGGGCTGTCAAGCATTGAAAAAAATTAATCACAATTAATTTCACCTTTAAAGAATAATAAATACCATTTATTCTCCTTTAATAATAGAATGCTACTTTTTATTTTGTGTTGTAATTGAAATCAATATATTTGAAAATGTAGAAAAAAATCCCAACATATTTAATACATTTAACTTGGTATTTTATTTAACAGTTTAATTAAAACAGCAAATAATTTCTTTAATCGTGATTAATTTTTCGGAGTTAATCATGCAAGTTGTACTGGGATTGACAGCTGTACTTGTTTTCCATTTTATTTCAGAAAGGCATTGAGGCAGAGAAGAACACTATATCCCTCCTCTCTAAGTTACGGAATGAGCTGCAAACGGACAAACCACTGGTTCCTTTGGATGATAATCTCCCTGATGTTCCACTGTGGAATCAATACTTAGAATATCAACAAAATTTATTAGCTGGGAATGAAAAGCCAAGCTGGTTTCAATCCCCTTGGTTATATGTGGAATGCTATATGTATCGCCGGATTCATGAAGCACTACTTCAGAAGTAAGTATACATGCTAACATGAGATGTTACCTGTGTATAGATCTGCTGATTTTGTGCATCTGAGAGGTGAAAGATGGGGAGAATATAAAATGGAGCATGCTTAAACTAAATCAGAATTCTGTTTTAAACATTCACCATCTTTCCTTTTCCTCTCTTCCACCTCTTCCAATTCCTTCACATTCTTTGATTATTTTTGTGCTGAAGGCCTTGAAGTACATTGTCAGTCACTTTTCTGCCTCGGTTCTTGTGATTCGCTTTGCTGAGACATCTGAATCTGAATTTTCAGTTTCTTGCAATGTAATTTAGGTTGAGATTGGAAAGTTATTGATGCTTCCTAAAGGATTTAGTTTAAATTGCAGATCTGTCATACAAATATAGAACAGGAGCCTTTTTTCAATGTTCTCCACCACTGTAAGTTTTAGCAACAGTTTCTCCAGTTAAGGTACTAATGGGGCTTTGCTTCCTTTGGAACAAAGCTTAATTCATACTCTGATTTCCTTCCCTTTTATTAAATAATATGCAAGGTTGAGCTAACATTTTTTTGTGTTGCCGCTAAAAAGTTAAACTGGCTGACTTTTTTTCATTTAAAAACAAAGGGCCCAATCCAGATGTCACTTGAAGTTAATGACAAAATTCCCATTAATTTCAACAGTAGTAGCAGGCCCTAAAAGATGAAAACATGATGGTAGTAGGGTTAATGGTAATTGCACACATTAATACATGTCTTACCTCTGGTATTTTGGATACAATTTTCAAAAGAGTCTAATTTGGGCTCCTATGTTCCTCAGACTTTCAGTGAGACTTAAGCACTTCTGAAAATTATACCCTTTTTGTGTGTTTAAAAAAAAGCCACAGAATTGAGAATGTAGTTTAAAAAAAAAAAGCTTTCCCCCCATGCAAGAAACAAATAATGAAAGATCACAGTGTTAAAGAGCTTTAAAAATTTTCATTTGTTCTGTGTCCTACAAAGATCTTTCAAGTGGGTAAATTGTTCTTAGTTTCCAAAAAATGGGAGAAAAGGGCCATTTTCCTTAATCAGAAAATGTCAATTTCCATGTCAGTTGCACTTTTGGGAATCTATTCATTGTATTTTGTGTTATTTGGAATTGTATTCTCTAAATCTCTCTACAGACCAAAAGTGAAGAATTCTTTTGTAATCTCTTAGGGAAAGTCAATAGTATGATGGACTTAAATTTTGTTCAGCAGTTCAAAATCCTGGAGGATCTTTGATTAAAATAAGTTCAGGGTTTTTTTTGCATGGTATACTTAGTCATTTGTCAAAAAAATTGTATTTATCATTCGAGTTATAAATTTGAGGTGTGTTTTTTTTTTTTAATAAAGTTTAACAGAATTAGCATGCTAATTTTTGAAATGGTTCAGATGACAATTTCCACAAAAACAACCCGTTACCTTCATAATACATTTACCTTCATAATACGTTTAGGTATGTCCATGTGAAAAGTTGACACACAACCATAAATACAAATACACGGGGAAAAAAAACCTGGGCCAGTTATTCACCCTTAGTGGGCTTGGATGTTTTATCTCCAGTACTTCATAAATTTGTGTTTTGTAGATTGAAAACTCTTTGAGGCATCCTGAATGTATATACAGTATCCCATATAATGATGGGGAGAAGGGGCATATCATGACTGACACATTTGGACACAAGCATTATATATAGTCTGTTGATAAACATCTGTATATGTTGACTAAAATGGATGAGACAGAATATCAGACAAAAGTAAGTGTTACTGGAGCCATGTAAGAGTCTAGCATGCCATGTTACTGTGGAAGGTCAGAGTAGGACCCTGAGTTTAACATTCATTTATGAAACCAAGTCGTGTTTAACTCTTTTGCTGCTGCTATGAGAGTAAATGAGAAGGCTATTAATATTCTGTTTCTTTCTATTTTAGTCCTCCTATTGATGACTACGATGTATTTAAAGAAATAAAGTTTCACAGCTTCTTTGAATCCCAACAAGCTATTATTGCCTTATGCACTTACTTACAGGAACTTCGTAAAAACATTGAGGATCTAGATGAAAAACAACTTCAGAGAGAGTTTTTTAAGCTGCTGCAGGTAAACTTGGCAGTTCTTATTCACAGTTACAACATTTGAGTTCTGCAAAACTTAAACTTTCACTACATTCTAGCCCTTATGTTTTCAAATACCCTATCACATATTGACTAATGCAGTTTATTGCTGAGTCTGCAAACGTATATGTCTCTGCTACTAGCTAAAGATCTGAGCAGCCCTAAAGTGAAATTAATATGAGTCTGGTTAGATTTGTGATCTTATTCAAAAATCCTATGAGTAGCCATGTAGCTGACAAAAATCATATTGATTCCATGCTGCTGATGGTCTATTATACGTTCCAAACCCTGCTTCTTTTTCATGTACATCCAGTGTTGCTTAGGAATATTAGAAAGCAATTTATTTTAATAATTGTGTAACCACTAAAATTTAGTGGTTACATGGTTACTAGATGCTCCCTGGGGACAGGGCCTGCAGCCACTGTGCTCCCAGCTTCACTCCCAGGGTGTTCCCTGCCACCTCACACTGCTTCCTCCCTATCAAAGGCAACAGCATGGGGCAGCAAGCAGGCTCCCGTCATGGACCGGCTCCTGCCTGCCATCCCGTGTAACTGCCTATGTATCAATAGCAGCAGTGGTGGGTGGCAGTTGGGTTGGCACTGAGCCAGCTTTCCAGTCCGAGTTTTAAGTGCAGAGCGCAGAGAGGGAGACTGGTTGTTGCGGTTAACTGGGACCATTACTCAATAAGCAATCACTTATCGGTTAAATGGTTAGTTGACTAGTTGTTTACATCCCTAGTATTGCCATTCCCAGGTATTCAAAGGTCATGAATTAGGCTCCAAAAACCTGATTTAAAAATATTGTTAGTGTGTTCAGTTTACAATTTCAAACCTGATAGAAACTTATTTATTTATCTGAAAATTGAACTTTTCGCAACTTTGTTGCCCTAGGATCTAAGGCCTTAGGAAAACATCAAATACCATGAGAGTTAATAAAATTAAAATTTGGCAATGCAGCCTACCTAGCTGTTTCAGAAAAGCATATTTGCATATTTTTGCAATATAAACCAACTTTATCAAATGCTAGGTAATCAAAACTCATTCATTCTCCTATTAGTCCTATGTTTACTCTGCCAAGGCTTTTTGGAGTTCTGTCTATATTGTACATTTCTTTAGCTCTGTCAGTGTGTTTACCAAATCTAATCTGTTGTGATTAGATAAAGATGGGACAGAGGCTTGTATTTCCTCCTTCCAGTTTATTTTTGGTGCTCTTTGGAATTGGATAATGTTGTTTTGGTTTCTCTCCCAGAAATCTTTCTAAACTCTTTGTGTAAAACAATAGCAGACTTACCTGGTGGGGCTGGCAGCGTGAGGGGTGCAGAACTCAGGATAGAGATCTTGGGAATGTGGGTGAATGGTGCAGGAGGTTTGAGAGAGTGAGGGTGGGGAGTGATGAGAGGCTCAGGGTGGGAGGGTCCATACAGCATGGGTCTTTTCTCCCTCCCCTAAGGTGGCCACCAGGTGTCTTTTTTTCCTCTCTCTTCCTCCTTCCCCCCAGCATAGCCCTCCTCTTGTCCCCCAGCCACCTGGGGCCTTTTTTCTCCCCCCCAACCTGGCAGTGTTGTCAAATGTCAAGGGCTGGGGGGTGGGGGAAGTGGTGAGGGCATGGGGGGCTATTTACTTGGTGTGCTGACAGGCAATATGTCAGAGCCCCAGCTCTGCTGGCCACTCCCTTGGTGGTACAGCTGCCCCCACTAGACACTCTGCAGGATAGCTTTCCCCTGCAGGCTTGCTGTCCCCAGTAGTGGTTCTCGTATTGCTACTCCCCCAGACAGCAGTCCCTCCCTTTTCATTTTATGGAAAACAGTCCTTTTCCCAAGGCTTCCTGTTCTGGCACAGCCAAACTCTGACCTTGCTTTAGGAGAAGAGGAAGCTGTATACAGGCAGTCCCTGAGTTACGCGGATCTGACTTACGTCGGATCCGCAGTTATGAACGGGGATTTCTCGCCCCGGAGAACTGGAGCAGCGGGACGCCTGGTCCTGCCGCCCGCCTTCTCCGGGGCGAGAAAAGCTGCACCCCGTCTCCCTGGTCTGCTGGCGGAGCCAGCAGACCAGGGAGACGGGAGCAAAGCGGGGGAGCACCGGGGGCCTGACCCGCGGCAGCTTCCAGCTGATCT